CCTGCTGAAGGTAGGGATTTCCATGGTACAGTTAGTTAATATCTTCATGTTTAAATAACGTACAATCTAGAGTCTTTTGGATCCTCAGTTTGGTTTTATGACTTAGATGGGAAGGATGAAAGGAATAGGCAATAATGGTTGTAATACTAGGACTTGGCTCACTGAGTAGAACCGTAACCCTGCATATGAGCTCAGCCATTTGAGGCAGAACTGCATGCATGCATATTGGAGGAAGTACTTGGAATTAAACCTCCCGTACCTCTTCACAAGTGCCAGCAGTGCAACCATGGGAGACAAAATTGTGTGAGCTATAGCTGCTTTAAAGTCCTTTCTTAATCCTCTCAGCATCTGATTCATAATCGTCTGGATCTGTTGCACTTCAGTCCCTGAATCCATGCCCTCATATTTTCCTATCATTGTTCCCAAGGAACAGAAACTCTGCTGATGGATTTCTTTCAGTTTAGTTGCATGCCAACCGACTTGTATTTAAAATTTTCTGATTATAACTTCAGCACAAACCTTGATTGTCTTAAAAATATCAACTGTTTGTAGGCTCTGTTCTGCTTTTTATTTCCTCCCTTCTCTCTCCCCTTCTGTCTTTTTCTGGTTTAGGACCAATATATCATAAAAAAATATTTTGTAGTCAAATATTGCCAATATATAAATGACCATCGTTCTTCACTTTTAGGTCACTTACAGGTATCATTCACACCCTTTGTCATGTTTATCTCTGAATAACATTGAATTACTTTCAAAATAATTCAGGCTTAATGGTAGTTGATCTGATTCATAGGGCACATTGAGTTTTTCTGAATGGTTTTGTTACTATCCTTAAACATTGAAACAAAGCATAAACAGTCCCTTTGGTGGTGAAAGCATCTTTTTTTCCTTCTCTTTGAATTTGTCTGATAGTTATATTTTCTGAAGGTGAGTGATTGTTGAATGCCACCTTTCTTCCTGAATCATCACACCTTCAAACTGATATGTTAGTTTGCTGGATTAAAAAATCGTAATCTATTTAATAAAAAACCAACTCCAAACAAAAAATAAAGCCACAAAAACCCCAAACTGCTGTTTTAGAACTGCAGGGTTAATACTGAACCTGGATCAGGTTGTTAAGGGCTTTGTCCAGTCGGGTCTTGAAAACATGCCCGGACAGTGTGTGTTGTTGGAATGATAGTTAATGATATATAAAATCATAGAATCCCAGACTGGTTTGGATTGGAAGGGACCTCAAAGATCATCTAGTTCCAACCCCCTGCTATGGGCAGGGACACCCTCCACTGGACCGGGTTGCCCAAAGCCTGCAGTTGTTTGAAAAGGAATTAGAAGAAGGAGTTTTTTGTGAGTTGTGGTTTTGTTTCAGTGCACCCAAAGGGATCTGTGTTACAAAATACTTCCAGGAGTGTAACTCTTACTCAGTTTTTAAGGGCTTCTCTTGGTTTCATTTTTCACCTCCCTTTTTCTGTAACTGTAATCACTGGGGTAATCACTTCCACACAGACACTCTCCAGGGAAGTAGGATTTATTGTACATCTCTGCTGGAGATTATTTATTTTGATTAACAAGGCTAAAGAGAACAATATTTGCCACATAGATCGATAAGTAATCTCCTTTGTAGGTACTTTTATAAGAGACAGACTTTGATCGCTCAGTTATAGCAAAATTGTATTGTGAAAAATGCATTTGCTTGTGAATGTTGTTTACAATTTTTTCTGTAGGAACCAGCAGTGAGAGTGAAGAAGAGATCGTTTTCCAGAGAAAAAATAGGAAAAAAAAGAATGTTTTGAAGTCTCCTGATGTAAGTCTTTGAAAAAGAAAAAATAGACGAGAGAAGCAAAATAACAAGGAAGTCAAACACCAAAACAAAAATCCTCTTTGCGATTGTACTTATTTCTGTTTACATAGGTTAAGAATGACAGTGATTTTGAATCGCCGATTCGTGCCATCAGAAAACGTCGACACCCGCTTAACATGGTTAGTAAGTGCTTTGGTGAGACAGAAGAAAAATAATGCAAACCCATTTATGGAGTATGTATTTAAACATTTACTCATTCTCCAGTCAGTAGGAAAGTGTTTTTCTTAAAAATAATATGCCATCTGACCTAAGGCATATTAGAATGTAATTGCCGACGTTTCCAAAGATAACTTTGCAGTTGTTTGGCAGTGAATTACTGTTACACACAGGACAGATGAGCCTCTACTGTTATAGGCAGTAAAATCACCTTTGTTCCACAAAGCTTTAAATCAAAAAAAAAAGTGCATGTCACATTTGACCTGATTTTTCCTCCAAATAACAAGTTCTTCTGTTCCTTTTGAATTTAATAAGATGATTAGCATTATCGTGTTATTTTGCCATAGCGAATCAATCCAAAAAAATCAATTGTTGCTTAAAAAACCTGAGACTTGCAGTCAACAAGTCGATGTCCAAGTGGAGACCAGGGCTGAGTGCTGTTCCTCAGGGGTCGGTGTTGGGACCGGTGCTGCTTTACATCTTTGTCAGCGCCATGGGCAGTGGGCTCGGATGCACCCTCAGCAAGCTGCCGATGACACCAAGCTGTGTGGTGGGTTGACATGCTGGAGGGAAGGGATGCCATCCAGAGGGACCTGGACAGGCTGGGGAGGGGGGGACATGTGACACCCATGGAGTTCAACAAGGGCAAGGGCAAGGTCCTGCACGTGGGTCGGAGCAATCCCAAGCACAACTCTTATTTATTAAAGTGTTTGTGAAACGTTCCTCTAGTCAGACATGTCCAGTGATGACAGCATGGATTTCCACAAGAACTCAAGTAGGACCACAAATAGCAGCTCAGCAGCCCCCAACAAAAAGCAGCTGGCAAGTACAAAACGGCAAAAGGTCAAGAGCAATTTTACATACAAGGTACGTGATGTTACCTGTCTCTTTTAATACATTGAAGGTCATATTTGGAGCCGTTTGCGTTGAAATTGTAATGCAGATTACGGCTGTCCTTTGTTATATGTGTGTGTGTATGTAAGAGCACATTTGCAACCTTGCAAAACCTAGGTCAGAACAATGATTCTTTGAAGATAAGCAGCATGTGTTACCAAACAAAAACAAAAAAAGAGACAGAAAGAGACTTAGTGAGATTCTACTTTCTGTTCTAACTGCAAGAATGAACTGAAAGTATTTTCTAATTTGTCTATATTTAAATTTATAAAAACCATGAAAATATGAGAAATGTTGACCGCTAGTTTCACATACTTAAGACAGAAAGTCACTGTATTGAGTCACTGATGCTTGAGCTTGTGTGTATTTTATGGCCTAAAAAATGGAGTTTCTGTCTATTTTATGGCCTTTTGTAGGATCTCATGGTACCACAGTGTTATGGTAGGCATGCAGTTGGGCAGTTGTTTGTTTTTAAGACTTTATTTAGGAGGGTTGAGGCTCATACAAGGTTGTTGCAAACATTTGAGATGAAATCTTGAAACACTGGATAATGATCTGAACCTTCACATCCCTTACCTGACTTTCAGAGAAATCTGCAGGGCCCTGCCTAATAATGTTCTGAAACAAAATAAGAATTTACATTACAAGTAGAAGATACCCAAAGATTAGTCAGACTCAGGAAGCTCAGATACTTGTCCAGAACTTACACTATTAGGATTATATGAATTTACCACCTACACTAATGGTTTCAAGTTTGGACATCTTAAGACAGCAATGGACCCTCGACCCCAAAGCTTCAATCTTAATTTAGTATTTTACACTTTAATCTGTCACTGCATCAGGAATGGATGCAGGAGAGGATGCAGGACCAGAACCATATATTCATAGTAAATTGAAAAGCTGTTAAATATACATGGATGTGGTTCTTCTAGGCAGAAATTACTGTAATAAGGGCTCTGGGGCACATTCTGTTGGCTATTTTTTATGTTTTAAAGATAATCCTCCTTGTGGAGACTTCCCTATAGTATCAGTATTTTATGTTCTGGAATACAAAGATTAGGTAGGTGAAAAATCCATTTTTCAATCTTATTTAAACATTTTCTTTTTTTTATGTGAGTCTGAATGGTTCGGGGAAAGAGAGTGTGTTACCTGTATACTTATGAAATTCTACCGTGCCTTCACATATCATCTTACCTAAACATTCATAGCGATGAACATGTCAGAATTCCAGATCCACAGACGATCCAGGACATGAAAACTGTTCTGACCAGGCCACCACCAGTTACGGTGTTCTGTCAGAAGTGCAGGTAATGGAGTCGTAAGTGCAGCAGAGCTGCAGTTAGATTAACAGAGACTGGGAGAAGTCCAAGGTGACCAGAAGAGCCACCTGCACTGAATTCAAAGATTCAAGAAATAATTTAAGAACCTGGAAACTTATTGTTTCCCAAGCATGACCAGATTCTTGATGGTTAGTTTCTGGTATCACAGTGCTGTTCACGCTGCAGGGTTTGTCCTCTTGCTAGTCCTCCCCAAGTAAGAAGGATTAAGACTAATTGGCAATAGCACTGAGAGTTCTTTCCTGTAAACAGGTCACCTCCAGTGTGCTTCAGAATAATCAAAACTGTTCTAGAAAAGGAACTATTAATAATGCCTGTCATTCAGGCTTACTAATTGGTGTAAGCAAATAAATAAAAGACTTAGGAAAATTTGAAAATCAGAGATGTCACTTAGTGTAGCACAAGATGCCTTAGTCTTCCACGTACTAAACTAAAATTTACAGCCTTGTGCTTTTTATTCAAGGTATTTTGAAGGCAAACAAATGGTTTTTTTGTTTTTACCCCCCACATTTTACTTTAGTAATTTATAGCTGAAATTAAGAGAAAAAGTTAGCTTAACATAAAGTATCTCTGACACAACATCTTTCTGAATTAATTTTGTTTCCTTGTACATTATTGTGAGTCTGTTGTTGATGGAACTTAGTACCCAGGTTTGTACCATGTCTCCTGGACTGCAGTTCACCTGTGAAGTGCATCCTCTTCCCTGAAAGACGAGCATTTTCTCAGTAATGAGTTGCATTGACTGATGAATTCATGAAACAGTTAATCCTAAGTCTTAAAGAGAAAAGGGCAAACCAGCATGAAATCTGTATCTGAAGTTTCTAGTGGACTTGGGTTCAGAGTAATCCAGCACTTCAAAATCAAAACAGATTTTTGAAAGCAAATAAAATGAGTAAAACTAGATTTATAAGTTACAAAATAACCTAATATTTTTGGGTAGCTTAGTTAGTAGCAATGCGTTAGTAAACTCTGTCTGTACTATTAATGAGTCTATGTGCAAACTGTGCTATACACTGCGGTCACCTTCGGCCAGTGCTTTGAAATGGAGACCAGCTTCACCTGTCCATGTTGGTGGGACAGCCACTGGACTTTGTGTTCTTCACATCACCTTTCCCTGTGATGGATTCTCTTTTCAAAGCCAGAAGCCTGATATCTGTGACCCTCTAAGCAGCTGATGTTCTGAAGTCATGAACTGATTTAATTAGAGGTCTCATATGTAACATTAGTTAATTGGGAGCCAACTTCTAAAATTTTGTTTGGATTTTTTTCTTTAGAAAGCAGCAAGACAGTTTTTAGATGAAGAAGCTGAGCTGTCCCAGCAAGATGCAGATGGCATTTCATCTGATGAGAGTGACGATGCAGAGAATGAGCTGAACTCTTCACTTGCTCAATTCCTGAATGATGATGTAGAGGTCACACAAGTGTTAAATGGTGAATGAGGAGACTTGTTTGTGGTCTTAAGATAAGGAGTGTTGCTTAGCAAATGGTATGATAGGCACGGCCGTGCCAACTGTGCCAGCACGTGCCAGCTAGTAAGCAGTAACCTCCTCAGCTGTGGTAAATCAGGTGCTTTGCATTTTCTGTCTGTACCTTCTCTGGTTATTTTTTAATTCGCGTGGATTTCTTAGGTAGTAACTTCCTCACTGGAGTCTCTACCGTGCAATAGCTTTGGGCAGGCTGGAGTCAGTTCTTTGGATTGCGGTGTAGCAGGAGATCCCGCTCGCTCAGGGTGAACCACTCCCTCTTACTCCATCATGGCTGAACAGAAACACAATTTTCCATTTCACTCAGAAATCTCTGAATCTTCCAGGTCTTCTGTTACAGAGAGACCTAAAGTATGATATGAAATAACACTATGAATGTTAAATTACAGTGTCGACACTGACAGAGCTGAGGAGGTAATGCTCGTTTTTGGCCGAGATGCTTTACTTACCCCTGTGCTTTTGAACCTTGTCTTTCCCTGGGATATTTGCATTACTACCATTTCAGATTCCCAGATGTTGCTGAGGATTTTTCTCCTCCACTGAAGCTGTGAGTTGTTCCCTGTAAGATCCTGTGTGGGCTTCAGTAAATCCATCCCATTCTCATACAGTATCTGAAATTAGTTGTTGTGTCAGGTTTGGGAGAGACTTGCAACATGGAAAACTGAGTGATTTGGGTTTCCTGTGGCTAATATTGCCCTTCTGCCTGCTACAGGCATCCCGAGCTCTGCCTGCTGAGAAAACCTTCTACACGGCAGCTTTCGTGATGGCAAGCTGGGTAGCCCTAGTCCTTTGCTTTGGGATTTTCAGAGATGGCTGGAGAATTGCAAATGTTTCTTTTGTGAAATACAGGGTTTGAGGAGACTATAAAGGAATTACTTAATAGGGAAAACATGATGTATCAATAATGAATTAAAAATTATATCCTTAATAATACCATATTCTCTTTTATCTTCTTGTTTTAATTCAGACTGTGAGATGAAAGGAGTTTACCTGAAATCTGTGCGTAGTCCAGCTCTTGGCAATAGATACAAAATGGTTCATCGTGAATTCAACAACTTGGCGATTTTCTCACAGGTATGAAACAAAATGACTGCTCTCCTTGTGAAATTCCGATTGCGTGTGACCGTATTTAGGTTCTAATCCTACTTTGAAGTGTAGTTTCCAGCTTATTGTTGATAAATAGTAAGTTCTAACAAAAGACTATTGACTTTGTTTTGATTTTTAAGTTAAAGTGTGCAGACACTCATAGAATCACAGAATCGTTTTGGTTGGAAAAGACCCTTAAGATCATCAATTCCAACCGTTACCCCAGCACTGCCCAGCCCCCCCACTAACCCGTGTCCCCAAGCACCACATCTACACGGCTGTTAAATCCCCCCAGGGATGGTGACCCCACCACTGCCCTGGGCAGCCTGTCCTGGTGCTTGACAACCCTTTGGGTAAAGACATTTTTCCTAATACCCGATCAATTCTATCATGCTTTGAGAGAAGCATACAGACTCCACTCTTCAGCTGGTGCGAGGCTGTCAACCAGTCTGAAGTGAAAGCATCTCGATCCCTGGTTGTCTTTTCACTGAAGAGTGGAGCTGCTGTGGTGATCATTGTTGAACTGTGTAGGACTGCATGGTGCTTCCAGGGTCGGAAGCTTTTCTCCCCCTCTCTGCTGTCTTCTGCTGTCACAAAGGACACAGACTGACATCTCCTGAGGAAGAGTCCTCTCACCCAGCATGTGATGTTTCCAGTCTCTGAACCGAGTTCCCAGTTTGGTGAAACAAGCAGCCCCCAGAGAGAGGCACGACAGTTTGGGCCTCTTACCCGGTTGTACGTCAGACTGCCCTGCGCTGCTCTTGCCAGACAAGCAGCGGTGCCAACAGGTCACATCTTCTCTAGCAATTAGACGGTTAGCTCCTGAAATGTAAGTTTGGAACCAGTCATGAGAAAAGTAAGGTAGCGTATTTAGCAGAGCTTGTTGCTGCTCCTCAGCGCTCTCTGGCAGGGTGCCTCTGGCTGTCCAGTGTCTCAGTGTTGCAGGAGGCTGACCCTTTACGTGGTCTCCAGCTGTTAGTTGTGCCCCTGCCGCCTGGGGTAACTACTGAGCACGAATGACTCCCAAAGCAGATCCTTAGCCAAGCTCTTGTCCTATCACATACAGTATCATCATGCACTAATTCTGTCTGCTCCTAGAAGTGCCAGGGAAACGTTGCTGGATTTTCATAAAGGAGCTTCTTTTGAGTTGTGGACTTCTTATCCTGGCTGCTCCTGGCTTGGTTCCCCCTCCGTGTGAACACTGCATGGTGCTCGGCTGAGACATTTCCTACGTGATCTGTCTCCTGGGTTCTGTTCTACTCTGAACTCTTCAAACAGCACGTGACATAAATCACTTGTACAATATTTTTTAGCTATTTAATTTTCCCCTGTTATTTCATAGAGACCAAAGAAATCACAGAGTCGGAAAAACAGGTGCTCAGGATGGTTCCTTATCCCCCTCCAGTTCTTCTTCTGTTTCCTGTTTTCCTGTTTTTCATATCACCTTCAGCAAAATAAAATAAGAGAGATCTATATTTGATGAAAAGGATAAACCACTTTTTTTTTTTTTGTTAACACACAAAATGGGGAGAAGGAGCAAAATCATTACAGTGTTTCAAAACTAACAGGTTTGGTATTCCTCTCCTCTCAGATTCCTGAGCAAGACCAGACTTATGCAGAAGACAGTTTCTGTGTCGGAGAGGAGGAAGAGGAAACTTGCCAAAAAAGTGAATCTAGTGAGGAGGAAGTGTGTGTTAATTTTGATCTCCTAAATAATGAAAGTTTTACTAGTGGAAGAAAACAATACCTCACTCGCCGCAGAAAAAAATTAAACCAGGCCAGGATGGAAGACAACTCCTCTGTCCCAAAAGTGCAAAAGAAACCATCCCGAATTATTGTTCTCAGTGATTCCAGCGGGGAAGAAACAAGTGTCAGCACTGAGAAGCCCAAGAAAACAGACTGTTTCTGGGCAGATCAGGAAAATACTAAGTCACCCAAGTCATTGCCTCCAGTCTCTTCTGCGCAGCACACAAAAATTGCTGGGGAAATCAGTGCTCATCAGTCTGTGGAGAGTAAGAGCGAGACACTTCTTGGCTTGAAAGCGTCAGTATCTGAAATGTTGGATTTTCACCCAGAGCATCAAGTCAGGAGCACGCACTGTCCGCCAGCGGTCACTACTTCTGCTCTGGGGAAAGAGGATCTCCAGGCTCCCACTGAGGTCAGTATCAGTCCAAAACAAGGACCTTCCCCTCACTCCACGTGTGCGAAGGAATCCCACCTGGGGGGAACCTGGCCTGTGGCACCGGTGTTTGAGGGCTGTCAGCAGTACCGCAGCCAGCGAGTGCGCTTCTGTGGTAAAGGAGCAGGTCTGTCCTGCTTGTACTGCTCTGCATCATCTCCCCTTCTGCGGCACCAGAGGCCTCTGTGCTCCCAGGGTGACGTAGGGAGCATCCTAGCAGTCAGCAGATAAACCCGGGGCATTGGATACTGTCCCGAGTCCGACAGTCATGGAGAGTGTCCGCTAATTCTTTGCGGTTTGTTGTTATAAAATACCTGTTCGCTGTCCTAAGTTAAGACCCTTCATCGTCTGAGGTTGGATTCCTGATCTCTCAGGCTTTTCTGCCTGATTTTTGTTGTTTGCAGTGTTCAGTTTTTAAACTCATTAGTGAAGGCTGCATGCTTTTGTCATTCAAGCTGCTAAATAATTAGATCAGCTAATTTTGGAGATTATTTATAGGAAAGTGTTAATCTGAAAGTGTTAACACTTCACAATATCAAAAAATACCTTTTTTTAAAAAAAGAGTTTATTAATTGTTTTTATGGAAAAACAAACGTGGAACAAAGTGTACCTGTTAAGCATCAGTATTTGAAAACTGTATTTTTTATTAGCATGTTTTTTCTTTGGCTTTGTGCTTCTGTGATCTCTTAGAAATCCTGTGTGATTTTTGACATTGACAGCTGGAAAGTTCTTTGAAGAACACCTGTAGGAGCACTTCAGTTCCATCTTGTTCTGCTTCCACAAACCCCTCTTCAGCTACAGCTCTGTTTTCACGTGACCCTCTGGAGAAAAAACCTTCACTCTGTATTCTGGTAGACAGCCGGGAGATCTCCTCTGGAGCAGAGGTGATTTCTTCCCTGAAGGCAGTTCACGCAGTAAAGGTGCAGGTCTGCTCGCTGAGCAGCAGCGATTACATCGTGAGCAACCGCATGGCAGTGGAGAGGAAATTTCTGTCAGAATTACTGAACTCTGTGAACAGGAATAAAGTCACCCAGCGGATCCAGCGCCTGCAGAGCATGTTTGAGAGAGTATGTGTGATTGTGGAAAAGGACAGGATTAAACCAGGTAGGTGTTCCCAGGCGGGGGCGGCGCAGGGACGCGCTGCTCTGCTCCAGGACTGGCCACACTGGTTTGTCTGGAATATAGGATGGAAAGGAGATTGGAAACCTGTATTTTAGTCTCTAGGAGCAGTACTTTAATGAGGTCACCAGCTGAACATTAACATTTGTTTTGCTTTTGAGGGCCACTTAATGTAGGCAGAGATACACAGCTGGATCCAGAGGGATACATACATTGCTTACTGATTACTGAGGCAAGGAAAAGCAAGTTAGCTCAAACATCATTAACTGACCATACTAATATGGGCAAAAAAACCCCGACTTCAAGACAGATTTCAAGAAGGTGAAAATAGTAGAATAAAGTAACAAGCACAACCTTATCTATGCTCAGCACTAAAATAATAGTGGAATCAAGAAAAATATTTTTTCAAGCAGTAACCTAAGGAGCGGTATCTGTCCAACTGTACGGGAACACTCACGGTTTAGACCCAGTGAGAACGGCAGCCAGCCTGAACGTACCATCCCACGTGTTCAGTCTGCCTCCAAGTTGTAGAGACCAAACCAGGTGATGGCTGCTGCAAAGATAATCCATGGAATGAAATCAGTTTTTAGAAAAAGACAAGAAGAGCACTCCTGCAAGGGGTTACTTTGGGAAGCCTGTGCATTGCCTCGTGTCACAAAGCACACAAGAGAGGAGTCTCAAAGACGCCTCCTGACTTGATTAAACATTTGTGGAAAATTCAAGACTATTTATTTATATAGTTTGGACAAGCCCTTTGTTTTTATCCTAAGATCCAAATTGTGTAATCAAACAATTTCACTAACTGTCTATTCTCCCTGCCATCCATAAAATAATTGAGAGGTCTTGCTTGCACCTGCTTCACAGAAGATGGAATTAGAGCTCACGGCTCCAATGAAATTACAGATGTTCTGGGACATAAAACTCCACTATTGAAATCAAATTGTTGTGGGTGCAGCTTTGTTTTTTTTGACATAAATCTAATTTTTTGATAGTTCAGATGTGGAAACGATGATAAAATCAGTCACTGAAGATGTAGCTTCTCGGAGGGGGCTGTAGATAAGTGGATTGTGTTTGAGCTGCCTTTTTACCCCGCCGCTGAAGGTGTCCTTCATTTCCCTCGGTTTTGTCCAGTTTTTCTCATTACGCTGTTTCCAGAATGCTGCTTGTTTCTTGTTTGACACAGAGGTCGAGTGCATCTTTACTTTTGTAGCTTTACCAAACCTTGTCTGATTTCTATGGTCTGTCCTGTTCTTCATCTCTTAACATGTATTCCTCCCAATCCTCTCTCCTAATGACATTTAATTTGCATTTTCAATGTTAATTCCTAAACTGTACCTCTCAAATAATCAAGAAGTGCTGCTCCCATGACCTGTCCTGCCTTCTTTCCCTGAGATGTTTTCCCTCATGTTGTTTTTGTTTGTGAGTTCTCAAAGCAGGGGATCTTTGAGCATTTTGTTCAGATTTTTCACAGTAATTTAGCACTTAAAGTAAAATCTCACAGAGTTTTCTGTATTATCATTCTGCAGGAGAAACGTCACGATTTTTCCAGAGGACGCAGTACTACGATGGCGTGCTCTCAGCCTTGGTCCAGGCTGGGGTCCGACTTCTTTTCAGCTCTTGCCAAGAGGAAACTGCCGGTTTGCTGAAAGACCTGGCTTTGGTGGAACAAAGGAAAAATGCCGGCATTTGTGTGCCAACAGAGGTGGAGGGTCACAAACGGGAAATGCTCAACTTCTACTTGAGTGTTCCTAATCTGAGCTACCTGGCTGCTCTCAATATGTGCCATCGCTTCGGGTCCGTGAAGCAGATGGTCAACAGGTAACAGCGGAGATGTACGGCAGTGCCCTGAGGCCTGGCTTCCCTTTGGCTGCTGTCCCAGCCGGGACCTCCTGCTGGGGTAGCTGCTCAGATCCTTTCTGCACCAGGGTTACTGCTGGAGCACCCCAGGAGCGCTTCTGTCTCTGCACCGATCCTGCCCTGCTCTTCCCACAGCTCTGTCTCTTCCAGCTGAGCAGAGCAGGGCACTGACACGGGCTTTGCTTCCACCATCCCTCCCACTGCCCTACCTTTTCCTTTCCCCTTTCCCAGCATTCTCTTTTCTCTGCAGCTCTTGGGCTTCTTACTCTGGTGTGCTCACAGCCCTCCGCAACCTGAAGCGGTGACCACCAGCAGCTCGTGGTGTTCCTGTCACTCTCTTCATGCTGGACACGTCTGCCCAATGGCCGTTTCCCCTTCTGTCTGGGTGTTGCTCGCTGGCCACCAAAGAGCAGCAGGTGAGGTGCCGCCCTGCTGTGGTCTCTTACAGCTCCCCGCTGGACATCGCCACCGGCGCCCAGGTCAGCCCGCAGAAGGCAGAGGAGATCTACCGCTACCTCCACTACGGTTTTGATGTGCAGATGCTGCCCGAGAACCTCTGTGTGAAGGGGAGAAGCAATGGAGCTGCCAGGAGCTGAGGGAAGTGGAACTTGGGTTCTAGAGCCCCAGGCTGTTTTCTTCTAACTGCACTTTACTGAGTTTTCATTCACTCTAAAATATGTAAATAAATCCTTGCAGAAACATCAGGGGGTTTTTGCACGCTTACATCCCTGTCCATTTGTCACCTAATGCCCGCTGTGTCACGCACACTGGTCCCTCCACTGCTGCTGCCCAGGCACATGGCTGTCAGCACGAGGTGAGTGTGCAGAGTAAGGCACAGGGCTTGGGTAAGGGCTGGGGTTTGTTTAGAGTAGAATGGTTTGGGTGGGAAGGGACCTCCCA